GAAGTCTTGAAAAAATATCCAAAGGACTTTAGGGAGATCTTTATCTGTGAGACGTTTTTTTTTTTTTTTTGGAACAGTTGAAGATCCTACAATTCTACAGAATTTCCTACAATTCCACAGCACTTCCGACAAGTTCACAGAAGTTCCGTCAAGTTGGCATAACTTCTGGCAAGTTTCCAGAACCTTCCACAAGTTCACAGATTTTTCATCAAGTTTATAGAACTTCTGACTTGTTCGTGTTTATAGAACTTCTAATAAATCCACTTCAGGTGATACTCTAAGGAAGCCTTAGCGTGAAACTTCAAAGGCACAAATGTTAGTTTCTACAAAATATACAATTATGAAATTGGTACTCTCTGTTTGTAGTAGCACAGCAAACAAGGAGTAGCAATTTCAAATTTGTATGTTTTGTGGAAGCTGACATTTGTGCCTTTAAAGTTTCACGCTAAGGCTTCCTTAGAGTATTCCAACAAGTTCACATACCATGCGTCAGGTTAACTGAACTTCGAACTTCCGTCAATTTCCAACTGGTTAATGGAATTCCGACACGTTCACTGAACTTCCGACAAGTTCACAGATCTTCCGACACGTTAATAGAACTTCAGACAAGTTAATAGAACTACCGTCAAGTTCGCAATACGTCCGACAAGTCCCCAGAACTTCTTAGAAGTTCACAGAGCTTCCGACAAGTTCGCAGATCTACAAAGGGCCTGGGTTCAATCACAGTCGGCGCCGCCGGGCTTTTCTGGGGCATAAAATCTCTGATCACCCCTTCCTTCGGGGGAAACAAAGCCGTTGGTTCCCGGTCCATGAATTGATGGGTCGATAGCATTGATCGAAATTCTCGCTCAGCTGCAAGATAAGTAACGTAGTGAGTGCATGAAAATATCGCTCTCTCAAAATCGATGAGAACACTTTTCCATCTCCCATTGGACACCGAAAATATTCAATAGTGCGTTGCTAGAGTCCGAGCAGGAGTGCAACAAATGATGATGTAAACAGGTGAGTCGATATAAATTTGCTGGCTCTTTTGTTCGCCTACTGTTTAAATGTATGACGGAGTTTAACAGCAGTACAACGTTGATAGAACAACACACAGCCCATTTTACAAAATGACAGGAGCCAGTTTGCCTGACAGAATTTTATGCAATTGATGTTACTTCTCACAGCCGCTAAGGTACTGTCTCCTGTCAAAGTTCATTCATAAATTGGAAAACCAGCTGATCAGAAACATCTCATAAAATGCTCTATTGGTTTAAGCCAACTAAGGATTAAAACAATACTGTCTTATAATATTTACCCAAAGTTGGTCTTCCAAGGTGGAATTATTCACCCATGACATTCCCGGCGAGAAACCGCTCGATGTCGTCATCAGGGGCCTACGGAACTTCGACCCGAAGTTTATCGAAGCTGAAATCAGGGACCGGTACAAGCTGGCCCCAAGTGCCGTCTATCGGATTTCAAGGAGGGACGAGTGTGTGAAGGCGTATCCGGATTGCCTTTTCCTGGTACACTTCCAGAAGGGAACGGAGACGCTCAACGCGCTCCATCGATTCCATTATCGTCCGCTGGGAGCCATATCGTGTGGTCATCGCGATGTGACTCAGCGCCAACGGTGCCTGAATTTTGGACGTGGCACCCGGAACTGCAACATTAAGCCACGCTGCAGCAATTGCGCTCAAAACCACGCCACCTCCGAATGTACTGCGGGTAAAGCTGTGACGTCCAAATGCGTCAACTGTGGTGGTGCTCACCAAGGATCCAACAACCAGTTCCCTAAACGAGAGGGTTTCAAGCGCTTCCGAAAACAGGCGTCCACCAACAATCAACCAGGACGAAGGAAGGATAAGGCCCCGGCTTTCAGGGCGGAGAACTTCCGCCTCTTCATGGACAAGCGAATTCATATCTAGATAGAGCTGGAAATAGGCGTAACTGCTGTTGTAAACAATGACTTCTCTCGATGATTTTTAGGAATACAAGGCACGTTCACGCAAACCAACATTACCGTCGGGTAGGGGAAGTGTTACCCTACCTGATGGTGATGGTGATTTGCGTGGGCGAGCCTTGACTTTCAAGACATCATCAAAAGAAGTCATTGTTTACAAAAGCTGTTACACCCTAATTCCAGCTCTATGTATCTTCATATAGGAACTGACATCCGATTGATGACCTTGGCAAATGTTCAAAAACTATTCTTTTGCAAAATTATGGGGGTCCTGAAAAGGACCCTTTAGTCGTGATGGTTGAGTAATGCTGAGCTATTAGGGTGTTAAACACAGATGAGGCTGGTGAGCTGTATGTTGTTTGGAATGAGGGTTACGCGATTGGCACATAGATGGCCTACAGCGACTCACGAAGAGCTACTGATTCCGATCAATAGCGGTGCGGCTTCTTCCTCCTTCTATGGATGCTCATGCATGCAGCCTTTCATTGTGTATTGGAGAACTAGGTTCAACGCCACGCGCCGAAAGCACTGCTGCTGCTGCTGCTGATGCTGATGCCAACGACCGGACACCACCACACACGGTGATTGGACTAAATCCGATCAGCGGTTGAGGGCAGCCTTGATAGCTAGCTGCTAGCGGGGAGCCTTTCGTTGCGTAATAATGAACACCACCACTCACCATGCGATGATAGAATAAACACCGTTTGGTGAGACCGGATGGAATTAAACTTTGAAATCTGTGTTAGGGAAATCGCTTTTCGCAGGCAATCAATGATAATTTTAATTATCATTCGTGCAATTTTCAATAGTGACATTTTGACAAAAAAAAAAATGATGAAGTCTTAAATTTAACAGATGCGTAGAAATATTTCTGATAGATTGGTCATAAAATTATTGAAATTAGTCCAGGGGCAGCTGAGTTATTAACGTTCAAAATCTTTCCAAATTTTGTTACATGTTCCAATTTCGGTTTTCACAAAGGTTACATCCATATAGAAATCACAGAGGTAGTCCTACGTCAATAAAGAAACTCTATGTACTATTTTCAATGGGATAAATCTCTACAGAAAGTTCACACGACTTTTGAGAGATGGCCATAGCTTCAGGGAAGTCCAAACAAATTAGTCAGAGTCACCACGCCCCGCAAAATAGGTCAGAATAGGTATTAGCTCGATGGCCATAGGATCCGGACCGAGAGTCAATTGTATGGGTAAGAAGCATTGCAGCGCTAATGTACGGTGTCAACAACAGCCTGGTGTCGAACGATCCTACCATTCTTCAGATGTATCTGCAATCACAGCTGTTTCTTCGCAGAACCACCCGGTACGATTAATGGTTGACCAATCAGTCAGCCGTATAAGCTCATTCTATGGACTGAACTCGGATTCGATTGACTGTGGAGGCTGGTGGAGTCAGTGGACCCCGTATTACCTGATTGCAGACCATCTACACTCTTTCACAACTGTTCGTATCACCGACGGCAACAGCAACATTAAGAAAGATCCTGCTACCAGAATTGAGAAGGTAACCACGCCGGAGGTAACGGAGCCAATCTGAATCGCGGTATTATTGAACGCAACTGGAACCAGCATCAGTTTCAGGGAGATTAATATGCGATGCATGACCAAGGATAAAAAAATATGAAGGAACGACAAGCATATACAAGGAGGAGGTAGTCATCAAACGACTACAACCAGTATCGAGATCCTGGACCGCCATTTGGATAATGCTGGAAATTATTGCATGGAAGATGTAGATAAACGGATTAAAAGTAAGAATTTGAGAATAATGAGAAAGAAGAAGACCAGCACTAGTTAATTTGTTACCGTAAATGGCCAATGTCAGTGGTTTCCTGGGTCTCCTGTAAATTTATTAGGGTGTTTAAAGGTTTCAAACCATGGACCAAGTAGTTTGAACCCCCACGCCCAACCCCCTCCCCATAAAAATGGGAAGGCCAATTATTTACGAATTTAGTACCTAACCACGACTGCTGACACTGGGAAACTACTGCAGGTCTATTGCTGCTATTACTACCACCGATGGGCATTTTAGGTCGAGTCCTTCCTATTTTTCAGATTGTAGCATTGCCCGAGTAGCATGGTGATAATGCCGACAAAATTCATCTTCCAGTGGCCGGTTGGGTACTTGATTTCGGAAAACGTCTGCCAGATTGACGCACCGTACCGAACTGTCTTCTCCTGGATGGACAGCTTCTGCCATCAGTCACCTTTCTCCATCTCGCGGAGGGGCTAAACTTTGAGTGCCACTCTCTTGAAGCGAATGGCCGGCAAGGAGCTCGTTGAACATTATCTTAGAATTAAGTTTTCATAACTTTTTTCCGTTCTTGGCTTGAAAATGTAAAAACACAATCTCAAAAGTTATAAGTGCAGGGTTGCCAAACTCACGGGTTACTGAGACTGATGCCTTGATTGCCACACTTCGGCACGTTCGGCACAACGCTTGACCTAGCTTTCGGCACAAATAAAGTATTGGATGTGCACAGTGAACACCCCTTGATCAAAAGCGTATTATTCATACTCATGTAGTAATCATGAGTAACCATCATGACAGGCCTGAGAGTAATCATTAGAATTTTACCTGATCTTATAATAACAAACTAACTATCGTGCCCATTTATGTACGAAGTACTTTTAGTCAGTAACTGCCCACCTCCAGGTGAAATGTAAACATTTATCAAGACTAGCAAGCGTAAATTTATGACAAATTCAACAATTCCATAATTCCATTTTGATGGATAATTTACCGCCTAGCTCTCAAGAACGAAGGATACCGGTCTGTTTACCTCCATTAAACGGCTTCAAAAACTCAATCCCGTGTCAAAACAACTAGCTCAAAATGTATCGCACCGCTTGCAGCAGCAGGAGCGTCTACCCATTGCTGTGATAATTTACGACACTGACAGTTGTCCATTTCCACTAGCTAAACCGTTTTGTGCGTAGGCCCCCCTCCCTGTCCAAAGACAAATGACTAACCAACGCCATTCTTTGATCGTTCCCGTCTCTATCTCTCCCACTCTCTGTCCGTTCCGTTCCAGTTTCACAGAACAGCTTATGCGTGACCACCAAGCTGGCCCAGATCACGGTGGAGCGTGAAAATGGCTGCCTGGGACTGACGCTGCGCGGTGGCGGCGAATATCCACTGGTCGTGACGAACGTTCGGATGCACGGTCCGGTATTCAAAACCGGCCAGATCAAGCCCGGTGACCGGGTGCTCCGGGTCGATAATGTAGGTTTTTTCCATTTTCTTTTCGAAGGTTCTATGCCATTGGTAGAACGATCCTTTATCATTGCAGACGTCCTTGGTCAACAAAACCCTGTCGGAGGCGCAGCACATTTTGAAAAACGGTCACATGTCCGGCTATACAAATCTCACGATCGAGTACGACGTGTCGGTAATGCAGAGCGTCGAGTTTAGCATGGGCCCGCTGCTGTTGGAGATTGAACGGCCGCTGAACGAAAAGCTGGGACTGATTCTGAGCAACTACTCCAGCGCTGTCAATCAGAGTGACATCTATCACAGCAAGCTGGACGAGGTTCAGCCGGCCGGGATCTACATTGCTAGCATTCTGCCGGCCAGTATTGCCGATCGGTATGTTTTTGCTTCCCGAAAAAAAAGAGTCTATTGTAATTAAATTCTTTAAAATTTATACGCAGATGTGGTGCCCTCTCGGTCGGGGATCAGCTGCTGTCCGTGGACGAAACAATCGTGGAAAACAGTGCCTTTTCACCGGAGGAAGTGTCCTCCCTGCTGGACGCCAACTGTACCAAAGGCTACACCCAGTTGCAGATTTTGCCGGCTCACACTTTAGTTCGGAGAAGAGGTACGTACCAGCTTAATTAATCGCGGATTCATGACATCAGCCAATACAAACATGCCGACCGGCCGAGTGGATCGCCGTGATTCATCATCGTCCTCGTCGCCACTTGAATCGTCTCCTGTCCTGTCCCACAGAAGTGGTGGCAGCTTTGTTGATATTATTCCCAATGGTGGCGTTTTTATTTTTGCATGCTCATTCGTTTCCCCACTAGCACAACTTCCTGTTTGCGCTGATTTACGGTAGAGGGGAAACACCCCACTTGCAATGTTGTTTTCATTACGGAGCAAAAAACCGACTGAAATCACGGTTGATGTAACATTATGGTTGTTTTATTTTCCTGCTACAGTACAACCTCGCTGCTTTGAAACCTTTTTCCGATTGGAGAAAGGCAGATTGCTGTCTTTTGCGTTACCTGCTGGGTACTGTTTCCGAGAAATGGAGGACGACGACGACGACGACGGCAATCCGTCTTGTGACACATTTCGTCGATCTACTACTGTACAGTATCGTGATCGTGTGCTGTGCGACGCTTTCCTCAATAATTCTGTCCCAATATATTTGTGGAGGCACACTTTCATTAGTCATTTCGTCGTCGTTCGCCGAGATTCTTGCACCATATTTTATTCTGATGGAATAGAAAGAGAAGAAAAAAACATAGAAGCTGGAGACGTCAGAACATGTCAAATGCAATTGGAAGGGACTTTTCCAGCACGCGTCTAAACTAATTAATTCTAAAATGCGTCATCCGCTTTGGGATCGGTGGTGATTTGGCTTTGCGTTTTTCATTTGGTGTATAATAGTATTTCATATTTCATCGTTGAGTTTTAATAGAGCTAGAATGCCTGCAACAGCGATGCCAGCCTAAGAAAATTTCGATTTGGTAGCCAGTGCTCGGAAAATCATTCTCAAATCTCATTAATTGAGCCGTTCTTTCTTCTTCTAGGCTTTTAACATACTTCTGTAGCGAGCTTTTAGCTGGATTTCAACATAGTTTTCTCGATGCACTTGCGTAGTTATTAATTGAGAGCTTCTATGCCAACCAATGCATGAATTTGTATTTTGTGTGGCAAGCGCTGATACCAACAATCAATACGAAACTAACGATTTTAAATTGGCTCACTACTTGACTAGCCTATTGGTCCCAAGCAAATCGACTAACGTACCCCATTCTAGTATAAATTCCAGTACCACACTATGTTTGTTTTGATTCTCTATGAAAGTTTGACAGATAAAATGAGGGGTTAGTGGATTTTCCTATGTTTCGAGAGGTGAATCGATTAGCTTGGAACCGAAGATAGTACCAGAGCTGAGCCAAAAAGTTGAGCTCGTTTCTTCGGGACCTTCTGGTCTTAGAGTTACCTCTATGCTGATACTCTATGCCCAGAGAAGTCAAGAACATTTCCAACCCGAAAGATTTCCTCGACTGGACCGGGAATCGAGCCCACCACCAACGGCTTGATAATATCGTGGCTTTGCTTTTACATTCATTGAGCCCTCCTGAGAGAATACATTCAGGTGTGAATCTACAATTAAAAACTTACACTTGAGATTCTCAAGCATTTTCAAGCACTCACACTTTAGTCGTCAAAAAATCATTCCAAGATAAAACTATTAAACACCGTTCAAACGTCAATTACACTTGATCACACACTGTTCGCAGCTTTCTTGTCGTTCTTGTTGATCTTCGGAGCAGCTCTGGGTACTTCCACAAAAAATATAGGAACTGTAAAACCATTTTGATAATTTCAGAGAAATTCTGAACCATTGAGATTTCCTTAAAACAAAATCTGTGATTTCGGGAGAAGTTCTGGGAACTTCAGAGCAATTATGGGAATTCTTGGAATTTTAGAGATGTTCTGGGATCTCCGGAAAAGTTCAACAAGCAAAGAACTTCAGAAAAATTATGGGAACTTTCAAAGATAATCTGGGAACAAATTTCAGAGGAATTCTAAGATTTTCAGAGAAATGCTGGAATCTCTACAGATTTTCTGGTATCTCAAGATGAGTACTGGGAACTACTGGAAAGACATTATTTGATCTCGATAGAGGTTTTGCGAACTTCCGATAAATTCTGGCAATTTTAGAGAAGTTCTGGGAGCTCCATAAAGGTACAAAAATCAAGGAACATCAGAAAAATTATGGGAACATTCAAAGATAATCTAAGAACAGCAGAGCAACACATTTTAAATTTCCGAGGATTCTGGGATCTCACGAGAAGCACTGGGAACTTCAGACAAGAACTTCAATGTTCCTGATGTTCCGTCTCCTGAAAAAAAAATCTGTGATCTCGAAAGAAGTTTTTTGAGCTTCAGAGAAGTTCTGGGAATTTTAAAGAAATTTTGGGATCTCCATAAAAGTACAAAAATAAAAGAACTTCAGAAAAATTATAGAAACATCCATAGAGAATCTAAGAACAGCAGAGGAAAACAAATTTCAGAGGAATTCGAAGACTTAAGAGAAATTCTATGATCTTCCTAAAAGTGCTGCGAAGAAGTTCTGGGAACTTCAGAAAAATCCAACGAACTTCGGAGAAATTCTAGGAACTTCTGTAAAAGTCTGAGAACTGCAGAGATATTATGCGAGCTTCAGAGAAATCTGAGAAATTCTGGAATCTCCAGAGAAATTTTGTGAACATCCGAAAAAAAATCTGCTAGTTTAAGAAAGCTCTGAGAATTTACCAGTTCTATAATTTCCCCAGAAGTTCTTCGAATTTTGCAGAAGTTCTAAAAATTTGCCAGAAGTACCATTTTTCCAAAAGCTCTGCAAACTTCCAAGAATTTCTATGCACTTACAAAAAATTCTAACAACTTTCCAACAGTTTCCTAGAAGTTCTACGAATGTCACGGAAGTTCTAAAAAATTCCCAGAAATTCTACGAACTTCCAAGAATTTCTAGCAACTTCTTAACAGTTTCCCAGAAGTTCTACAAATTTCACAGAAGATCTTAAAATTTTCCAGAAGTTTCACGGTTTTTCCAGAAGTTCTACAAAAATCCAAGAATGTATAAGAACTTTACAGCAGTTCTAAAATGTTCCCAGAAGTTCTACAATTTTTCCAGCAGATTTACGAACTTCCAAAATTTTCTATTAACTTCCAATAATGTATACCAACATCCCAATAGTTTCCCAGAAGTTTTAGGAATTTCACAGAAGTTCTAAAAATTTCCCAGAAGTTCTACAATTTTCCCAGAAGCTCTACGAACTTTCAAGAATTTCTTCGAACTTCCAAGAATTTCTTTGAACTTCCAAGAAATTCTCCAATCATTCCAAGAAGTTCTAGGAATCTCACAGAAGATCTAAAAATTTCCCAGCATTTATATGATTTTTCCAGTAGCTCTACGAACTTCCAAGAATGTTTACGAATTTTCCATCAGTTCTTAAATTTTCCCAGAAGTTCTACGATTTTCCCAGAAGTTCTACGAACTTCTAAGAATTTCTACCAACTTCCAAAAAATTTTACAAACTTCCCAACAGTTTCCCAGAAGTTCTACGAATTTCACAGAAGATCTAAAAAATTCTAAGAAGTTCTACGATTTTTCCAGAAGTTCTGCAAACATCCAAGAATGTATACGAACTTTCCAGCAGTTTTAAAATTTTTCCAGAAGTTCTACAATTTTTCCAGCCGCTCTACGAACTTCCGAAAATTTCTTTGAACTTCCAAGAATGTCCTCGAACTTCAAAGAATTTCTCCAATCTTTCCCAGAAGCTCTAGGAATCTCACAGAAGATCTAAAAAAATCCCAGAATTTCTACGATTTTTCCAGCAGCTCTATACGAACTTCCAAGAATGTTTATGAACTTTCCAGCAGCTCTAAAATTTTCGCAGAAGTTCTACGATTTTTCCAGGTCCTCTACAAAATTCCAAGAATATCTACCAGCTTCCAAGAATTTCTACGAACTTCCCAACAGTTTCCCAGAAGTTCTATAAATTTCACAGAAGATCTAAAAATTTATCAGAAGTTCTACGATTTGTCCAGAAGCTCTACGAACTTCCAAGCATCTCTACGAACTTTAAAGATTTTCTATGAACTTCCAAAACATTCTACCAACTTCCCAACATTTTCCCAAAAGTTTTACGAATTTCACAGAAGTCCTAAATTTTTTCCAGAAGTTCTACGATTTTCCCAGAAGCTCTACGAACTTCCAAAAATTTCAAACAACTTCCAAGAATTTTTACAAACTTTCCAACAGTTTCCCAGAAGTTCTACGAATTTCACAGAAGATCTATAAATTTCTAAGAAGTTCTACGATTTTTCCAGGAGTTTTACGAACTTCCAAGATTGTTAACGAACTTTCCAGCAGTTCTAAGATTTTCACAAAAATTCTACGAAATTCCAAGAATTTTTTCGAACTTCCAAGAATGTCCTCGAACTTCCAAGAATTTCTCCAATCTTTCTCAGAAGTTCTAGGAATCTCACGTTTTTTAAAGATTCTCTACAAACTTCCAAGAATATCTACCAACTTGCAAGAATTTCTACCAACTTCCCAACAGTTTCCTAGAAGTTCTATAAATTTCGCAGAAGATCTAAAAATTTATCAGAAGTTCTACGATTTGTCCAGAAGCTCTACGAACTTCCAAGAATTTCTACGAACATTAAAGATTTTCTATGAACTTCCAAAAAATTCTACCAACTTCCCAGCATTTTCCCAAAAGTTTTACGAATTTCACAGAAGTCCTAAAAATTTCCCAGAAGCTCTACAAACTTCCAAGAATTTCAACCAACTTCCAAAAAATTTTACAAACTTCCCAACAGTTTCCCAGAAGTTCTACGAACTTCACAGAAGATCTAAAAATTTCTTAGATGTTCTACGATTTTTCCAGAAGTTCTGAAAACATCCAAGAATGTTTTCGAACTTTTCATCAGTTCTAAAATTTTTCCAAGTTCTACAATTTTTCCAGCAGCTCTACGAACTTCCGAAAATTTCTTCGAACTTCCAAGAATGTCCTCGAACTTCCATGAATTTCTCCAATCTTTCCCAGAAGTTCTAGGAATCTCACAGAAGAT